ATATGGAATTTTTGCTAAGTATCATTTGTTTTATATAAGATTTTTTTTATTTATTTTTTTACTATTACTATCACTTAAAAAGTTTCTTGAAGTCTTCAAATTATTTGAATCGCCTAGAATAAATGCCATTGAAATATTGCAAATTACATCAAGTACATTCAACAAAACAGTACACAAACTAGGTAGTGTAGAAAATAAAAGTAAACTCTTATTTGAAAAAAAAAAAAGAAAAAAGAAAAAAAAAGAATAATAATAATAATAATTTCAAGAGTGCATGATGATGCTATTGTTTGGCCAAATTAGCCTTGTGTGGAGTACAAAAACATAATCAGTATATGCAGCTTTAGCTGATATTGGAAATCACTCCAAACACGAAATGTCTTCCATGCATACTTGCAGTTGCAGGTAATTTATGGGTGGCCCCCGCAAATTCAAATTATTCTGTCACACTCTTCAAATTCAAACTTCAAATCCAATAGAATAATAAAACAGAAAAACATGATATTCTTGTCTTCAATTCAATTCAATTAGGGAAAAAAAAAAAAAAACACTTATCCTAAATTATCAATTTAACCCGGGTTTTATTTTGCTTAAAAGTTGAAAAAAGTTTTATGCCAAAGTCGACAAAAAAAAAATATATATATAATAATAATAATAATAATAAAATTATTATACATTTCATAGGACCTATATTTCATCAAGTTTTATCAAAATATACCAAAAATTTGATTTTTAACAAAATCGAAGAGAAGCCTAGTTAATATGATGAGATCAAGCGTTTATTAATATGAAATGTATTAAGTGGAAATTTCACGGTATCACGTTTGGGAAATATTTATAAATGGTTTAAAATATGAACAGTTAGAAATGAGTGGTAAATAAGTGAATTGTATAATGAATTTCATGAAATACATGAATAAATCATGATTTGACTGTTTATAAATACCATAGGCTAAATCTTTCATGATATTGGATAAAGATCAAATTTCTCAAATAATTGTCAAAATTTGGACAACTATCCAATTCCTTTTATCGTTTAATTATATTAATTAAAAAATTTCTTCTCATTTTAAATTATATTATTGGATCTCAATCTATTGCCTTACTATCAAGTTGGTCCAAAAGCTTTTAAAAAAGAGTTGTCTTCTCCACCATATGTACTCAATAATGGAAATCATCCAAATTTCCATCAAATTATTAGGTGACTATCACATGTTTTACTTTTTGAATCTATATTTAATGTCTCATATAAGACTGGTGTTCAAAAATTCAAAAGAAGTCGTATTTGTTAGGGTCATGTCACAGTAACATTATGATTTAAAGACTATAGCCTCTGTTTGATGGCCTTTAAAACTCATAACCAAAATTTTGAATAGCAATTTTTTTTAAAACGTGGTAAGAAAGTAAGAAAAATCTTGGGTTTATTGTATAATATTTTATAGTGTGATTGTGTGATTGGAAATGAGTATGCAGAAAATAAAGTTTTTGAATAATAATTGTCAAACAGGGGCTTAATATTTTCTCTTGTACTTATTTTGTAATTATAATGAAATGTTATAGTCAAACTTGCTCAATTATCTACTCAAAATAATGCATTAGAGGCCCATATACAATTTCTTTTTTCATTAGAGGCCCATATACAATTTTTTTTTTTATTCTTAATACCGTCATGTTGTGTCAAGTTGGGTACTATCAGTGGCGGCCTTGAGTATAAGCGAAGTAGGTGATCGCTTAAAGCCCCACTTTGGTGAGGGTCCCAAATTATGTAAAGTTAATTGGTTGGTCGAAAAAAATAAAAATTATATTTATGAAATTCTGAAAATATAATTATCGTATGCAAACATACTAATAAAAATTGAAAATACAAAAATCTTTAAAATATATATATGGCAACAAACTTATAACTTACATTTATTTATCACAAACGTTACTTTCCCTATGTATAATTAAATCGACACTTTATTTTCCAAACATTCATTTTCTTTTTTTAATCAAACAAAAGGTCTATTTATCTTTTCCAATTCCATGTCCAACAATTACCCACCATTATTTTTCAACCCAACAAGATATAAACTATCTCCCTTTGAATTAAAATTTTGAAGATTCAATGCAATTTGGTTTGATCTCTCCACCATTATTACAACTTTACATGTTTTTTTAATTTTCTCTTATCTTCAAAACATATACTATAGAGTACATAGGTTGTTATTATATTGTTTTGTTTTAATCTCATTATAATAATAATTTTAGATATTTGCTGAAAGTATTTTGAATTTAATAATTCTTTGTCCTTATTCATACAGATACTTCTTATTTTAAATTAATTTCTTATAAATTAATATAAATTAGAAACTTGTTTGTAATTGATAATCATTTTCATTATTTTTTTACACTATCTTTTGCAGTTACATTCTTCAATTTTGTACGTAAATCATTCAAATGTATATTCAATTTTATTTGAAATAATTACAATGAGAAAATAATCATACAAACAAGTATACCCCTTTGCCATTGCATTTTAATTCTGTTTGCCAAACCTTACTTGTAATTTGTATTGCTGGTTGAAAATTGACATTTTATTAATTTTCTCTTCAAATATGGGGCTTAGTTGTCAATGTTAGATTCTTTATAATTATATTAAGCCCATGTTTTGTATCGATTAAAATCTAGATTTAAATTTAAATCAAAATCACCAATTAATTTTAATCACATATTTTATTGGTCCCAAAACTTTAAATCTACATATTTTATCTACTTCTATCAAAATCTACCAAAAATTTGATTTTAGGGGTTGTTTAAGGGTCATTTTTCTCAAAAAATGCATTTTGAAATAGTGTTACAATGTAGAATGTGTAATTAAAAAAAAAGTTTTGAGTTTGTGTGTAATATTATTTTATTGAGAAATGTGATTGAAATAATGTCAAATCACCATTGAAGAATATATTTTGATGAAAAAATGGAATTCAAACAAGGGATTAATCTCTATCAAACAGGCTAAAACTCTATACAGTGAGACTCAAAATATAGGATTCTAATTTGAAATTGGCATAAAGCACCCAAAATATCAGGATCGACCCTAAGTACTTTAATATTATACTTTTCCAAGCAAGCCAATTAAGTAAATTCCTACAAATAAAGCAAACTCACCAAAAATGGAAACAGCCGTTATGTTGCAGTTGTGCCCACATGTTTCATTTGGAACATAAGAAGGAGAAAAGGTTATATATTTGAGAGAATTAACGTAGCCTGCCCGCCTGCTTGGGATCTATCCATCGACTTTCTTGAACATCAAAAATTGTCTGCCTTTGAATGTCTGTCTTTTTGATATATATACATTTTTATCCTTCCCAATGCTAAATAATTAAAATATTTAAGGATATAAAATATGAGATGAAGACAATTAAACTACAGAAATCTGCTTCAGTAGTGTCTTTCCCAATGTGCACACCCCTCTATGAATTTAAACATTTTTGGATTTTGCGGTTTTGCTTTTGGGACTCGTTTGACAGTGCTATAAAAAAAAAAAAAAAAAAAAATAGTTGAACCCCAATTTTGAGGGTCCCCATCGTCCCGTCCCTTGAATTTTGTGATGGAGGTAAATCGCAAAATGTGCTCCAACAAATCAGGGAACAAGAGCTAGCTATAACTGCACCTACAAGGAGTCCAATTTCATGTCTCAGGAATTGAACTCTCACATTGAGGCTGCCGACAAGGCGTGAGATAATCTCACTCCTGTCATTTGTACTAGTACTACTTCTTGTAGAAGAGTTAGGATAAAATATTTTTAGAACATTAGCTCAATATATATAAAGGCATTTTCTTATTTTTAGAATCACCTTTTGACCTATCGGGTCCAAAGCTTTAATTGTGTACACTTTTATTAGATTAATTTGGAATTTTGGATTATCTAATTAATAAAACTTTAGCTAGTTTTCTTCTTCAATTATTATTGTTAATAAGTTTTTAATCCATGTTAACAAACATGTGAGTTTATTACAATGTTATACCACGCTAGACAAAAAATTTCAAAAAATAGTGATTAAAATTTTAAAAAAAAAAATAATTAAAATTTGGATATTGAAATATATCTATAAAACATTTTCTTAGGGCATATTTTGTGTACTGAATTGAATTTGAAATGATTAGACAAAAAGATTGACCTGCATATGAGTAAAGAAGAGAGATATTGGATAAAATTTATCATTGATCTAGCTTCAAGGTTAACGAATCAAACACGGTAAAAACCAATCTTGTTGAGCATTTATCTTGCAGCCAATTTGTAGTTCAAGTCGGTATATATTGAGTATTATTTATATCTTTAATCAATCGTTCACAAAAATTCATTACTTTTTCTTTTATTGCAATTATCACTTTTTGAGAACTTAAGTATATAAACTATATACTAAAGTGACATAATTATTAATTAGTTATTTGGAAAAATGTAATGTAAATACTATATATGCTTATTGAAAGAAAAGTAAATGTAACACATGAAAGATGTGCAAAAAACAGATTAGATAGTGCCTTTAATCAAACTTTTATTTTCTTTACATTTGAAGTTTTGATAGTACATTCTTATACAGAGTGGATGTAAGAAGAAGAAATACACTCATGAATTACTTGTGATACCATTTAATGTAAAAATAAAAAATAAAAAATCCAGTGGAAAAGAGAGATTCCCACCCACATGTAACGGTGGATAAGCCAGTGTTAGTTGAAGACAAAATTTTAAAGATATACATGTAGTTTTATATAATAATTAAATCAAATGATTTAACAGTTATAGAAAATGTATAAGTGATAAGTTCATGTCACCTATTTAATTAAATGGAAGAAATGATCCCACTTGCATCTGATCAGTCACCATACTGAAAATAAAATTTAAATGATGTGTGCGACGACGTCCAATAATTTAAACTTTTAATTTATGTGGTTTAATGGACATTGAAAAATGTCAAAATTGTAATGTCATGCTCAATTGCACGTCAAATTTATTTATTTATTTTTCAAAAGAAATTGACCCGTAGACTCTATGCTTTCTTACAAGTTACAACATCAAACTAATTTGTCCAAAGATTAATCACATCAAAATGCTCACAATCAAAACTAGAACTTAGCTGGGAAGAAGTGAACTCTTTTAACTCATCCCACAAACTTAAAATAGAGGTAAAGTAAGCCAAAGATGGTGATCCAAAACAAGAGGGTAAAATGTAGCTAATTTTGCAACACAAAGTTTTTAACTGAAATTCAATAAAAAATAAATAAAAATGTCACACAATGCCACATTAATTCCCTTGTCATGAGCTTCAAATCATGTTTAATTTCATCAAAAAGTTTGAGACACATTCAATAAACCTTAGACTCTTCAATATCGCTTCTCAAACTTAACCCCAAAATTCTGCTTCAAAATAGAGTCCACAGAGTCGAAGATGCAGCTAAATAACAATCCAAATTGATAGAAAAACCCTAGCTAATGACAATGAAATCTTGCCCTTCTGCTAATAGTTTTTGCTCCTGCATGTACTCTTAAGTACAAAATAATTATATAATAATATCAAACTTAATTATATTCCACAACCCTAATATAATTCTGCTTATTTTCATAATTTAGGTTTTCTTACCAAGATTCTGCTTGTTGTTATGCATCCACACTTTAAGCACTTGCCTTTTCACTCCAACTTCATTGCAGAATTGCTGCACCAGTTCTTCATCTTCCTTCTGCATCTTCCACCCTAATCTCTCGGCTAAATTCAGCATTTTTTCCTTCTGTTCTGCTGTAAACTTGGTCCTGAATCTCTTCTTCCCCGCGCTGCTACTCGGGTTAGAGTAATAGTCCTCGAGCTCGTCTCTTGAGCCAATTCCGCCACCTGAGGTGAAAGGTAAGGGCAGCGCAGCCACCCTCGGCTGCTGCTGCTGGGGTGCAGCAGCAATATGGAGGTACCCAGTTGGGCTGGTGTAGCCAAAATGCCTTTGAGGGTGGTGGGCCAAGAGTAGCCGTTGTTGCTGGCTTTCGGAGGCTTCTTTCCGGTGGAAATTGCGGTGGCAGTTACAGGCGGCGCATATGAGAGCTTCCATGGAACCCTCAGCTCCGGCAGCCATGAACTCGCCGCAGCCATCCACCGAGTGGCCTCCAATGCCCACAGCGTGATTTTTCAAACACTCTTTGTACCTGGGCTTCATCTGAGGTATCGCTTCTGTCGAGTGGCTGGGCATTTTTGTCGTCGGACGAGTTGAGTTCGAGTTCCCTAGTGAGTCGTAACCTGTCGGTGCCAATCCAATCTCTTCTTCATGCTCCTCTTCTTGATCCTCAAACTCCATCCCTTTAGCTAAATTCAACGCCTTAATTATCAGTCATCGCCTATATGTAATAGTCTTTTAGATTTAGTCCACACGCCTGCATAATTCAACCCTAGATAGAGTAAACGGGAAACATAGAATTATAGGTTTTAATTCATTTCTTCTTCAGATGTGTTAAATTGAAAAATAGGGGGAGATAAGAATACCTAGTAACCTAGAGTGAGAAGGAAAGCAACCAAAAAATTCCCAAGTATCCAATACAGGAATTGGATTTAAAAGAGAATAAGTGCTTGTTTGTCAAAACTTAAAGAAGTTGGGACCCATAAGTTTTAATTAATTTTTGAAAAACTGTTATCAATATCTGCTAAAAAAAATTTATCGAAGTTTTGTCAAACAACCCCTAATAATTACTTGTTATTTAGTGTTCAGGATATTGTACCTATTAGAATTTTGGCATTTCATTGCAAATTTGAAGTGTCAAAATTTAATGTGCTACTTGTACTATTTAGCAGCTATTGATTTAACTAAAATATTGATAAAAATAAATCAAAGTTAACAACTAATTTTTTTCATAAAATTTACAATTTTATGAACTTTATAATTTCATATTTCATTAAAATTTACCAAAAAAATTGAGTTTCAACAAAACCAAACAGGGACTTAATGTTAAAAACTAAAAGGTAGCATGTATTCTCATGAGTCTTCAAATTATCTTACACGATGCGTAATGTGTAACGATAAGGAGTACGATGACAACGAGGGATTTTGCTACTTGTACACAAAAATTGTACATAAGCTGTTATCGAAAATGATATGAATGGAAAAGATTGAATGAAAAAGTTTGCTGATGTATTTTAAATTGGCAAATAATAGAATATCATTTGGATATTATGTAATTTCTTATCTAAACCTTAATATACATGTAGCAAGGTCCCGACCAGGAGTTAGGTTCCTTTCTCATGTACATTTAAACTATGGTAAATATTTTCTTAATGTGTTTTGACTCCTAAGTTATGTAATTTCTTTTCTTATATTATTATTAATACATATTTTAGCACTTAGGATGGATTGATTGAAAAGATAAAGTTACGAAAGATGTCTTCTTGGAATAGATAAGATTGGACATAATGAAAGAATATAAATCTTCGAAAGAAATTCGATCGTTTTTAAACAATGCAAAAAATATATCATGAGTAAGGTTTTAATCTTGTTTTGTTTTTTTAATAATATTTGGATTATGACATTTAAATTTTTTCCCCCCAAATATGGCACCAGTGGATAATAACACGTTAATCAATTTTGTTTACCGGAGTCCGGTGATAGCCAGTAAAGGGGAGGGGTAAATTTGTTTACTACCTTACAGCCCGTTTGGAAGGGATTTTTTACCACAAAAAATTAATTTTTTGAATGTTATTTCACTATTTCAGCCGTAATTTTTGATTTCTTCTCTCACAGGTGAACCCCATTTTTCTTTTAACGGTCAAAAAATCAATTCTCAAAATACCTTCCAAATGGGACTTTAATCTTTTTCTACCGCACAGCAAAAATCTGCAGAGATGGACAGTGAGAAAGCGTGGATTTAACAGTACAGTACAGTATATTTCTGCTGAGCAGTGCTGAACAAAAGAATACAAAGAACTGCAGAAATTATTTTTCTACCATCTTCTTTTACTGTATTTATTGAACTGAACTTTACTCATACTTTGTCAATTTTAATGTCACTGTTCTTGTTCTTAAAGAAACACTAACACCAAATTAACCTTTTTTTTTTTATAACTATTACTTAATTATGTTTTCTCTAATGATCAAAGCGTTTTTTCCCCATGTTTAACATATTTTTAAGGCAATTCTGCAACTATTGCAAATTACTATAACGTATTATCCACAACGATTGAGTCTCTAATTATTGTTTAATTAATGTTATATTTTTACTCATAATGAAACATTATTCGTTTCTTACCTAACATGTCATATACATTTTCATATTTTAGAAAACCCTTGCAATCACACGTCACGACCTTAAATTTAGGGATTAGTTTTCCATTTCTTTTATTAATCGATGACATAAAATATCTTGGGCTCAATTTTTTTTTAAAGAAATAATTGCAACTGCAATCTCAAACCTTTCACTTTTACAACTTTTAACTTTTACTTAATATTTCATTTGTAGCATCTGCAATTCCAACCCTATTAGTTGCTTGCAGTCGATGGACAAATGGACGATTTGCTTGTGAGTTAATCCAAAAAAAATAAAAATATGACCAATTTTGACAAACAAACGAAGGTTAATATCATCCGTTCATATTTTTTCACCAAGTAACTTAACTAGATTTTTAAAATCTGCATTAGTTACTAATCAAAATAATACATCACTCAATATCTCCTTTTCAACCCTATAAAGATACCTCATTTGTTCCAAATATCCGAACATTTTCATAGCATTGTTCAATAGAAAGCGATTAAAAAAATCTGAATCCACGTAATCTAGATAGCTGATCTTATCATGTTCATACATATAATTTTTGCATCTTGACAAATAAAATCTACCAGGTATAGCCCTATGGTGAAATAGACGGAGTTCTCACCTGAAAAAACACAACTACAATAAGAATAAGTGGAATTCAAATAATAATCATAAGTATAAACTCATTCTAACATTTGGTTTGAAATATTAGACATCATAGTAATTGTCTAATCCCTGGCACATTCAGTGGGGATTAATAGAAAGAAAAATTTCGATCACAAAATGTTGGTAAAAGAGCATGATGAAAATCATCCAAATATATCTGGTGCTCACAAAGATTCAACTTTTTACACAATTTGCTCAAGGAAGGAAAAAAAATGAGAAACTCACCGTATTCGGCTAGGGAAGGGATCCTCTAAGATGAAAAGCATAATATGTTGGAATTTCTTCAGATTCATGGGTTTCTTGTGAATCCATTATGGAAGAAGATGGTTCAATATGTTCTTTCGTGTTTCACAATGGGATACATAAGGATTTAATGACTATATTAAAATTAACCTTTTTTTATATTTTAAAATTGTAAAATATAAATGGATGATTTTAGCCTTCATTTTATTGGTCAAATAGGCGAGATGTTTTAATTTTTTGGGTCAACTGATGGGCAAATAGATGAAACCATCCATTTGTCCTTCAGTTGCAAGCAATTAAAAGATTTTAGAAAACATGTGCTACAAATGAAAAATTAGGATAAAAGCTGCAACAAAGTGAAATGTTTGGGACCGCAACTTCAATTATCACTTCTTACATTTTCAATACGCAAATATGCTAACTCAAGGAATGTTTGAAAAATATTTATTTTAAAGATTCTCGAACATCCAAAATATTAACATTTCGAAGTAATAAATTAAATTGACACCATGCTTTAAAATATTCAAGCTATCCACACATGTTGACTAAGAGTCATAAAATATGAGAAAACAATCTCGTATTGAGGTACTTTAAACTTAACTAATAAAATATCATTATTTAGAACTACAAGATATTTAGAAAAATAATGACTACTTGTAAATAAGTCCATAACACCTGGTCATGGCCTAGTGCAACATCATCTATCTCGTCACCTGTGAACTCACACAAACTCTCTAATACTCATGACTCTCAAAATGTTGAGTTTCGAAAAATAAACCAACACGTTTCCTTGAGAAAAATATGGTCTATGTGTTTTGGAACGTTTAGCGAGGCATTATGCATTCAAAATGCATGACAAGGTCAAGTATACATGGCAAGTTAAGACATGCTCAAGTTTGTATGACAAGCTCAAGTATGGGGTCTCTACGGCTTTTAGGTTTTATTCCGAATGCCGAATAACCAACATTGGCTATTAATAACAAGTATCTCACTTGTGTTCCTTTTGAGAAAGGTGGATGGCCTTAAGAAGTCAACGTTGATCTTAAGTCAGGTTGATCAAATCAAGCACACTGTTCATTCTATCATTCATCTTGAAATTATAAGACTCGTCCGAATAAAGTTAAAAAATAAGAATAACACGAATATGATCATAACAAGTCAATGTCGATCCCAAACTCGGATTGATTCATATCAAGACTTCATAATAGAATCAAGCATAATGTTCGTTCTATCACCTATCTTGAAATGATAAGACTGCTCCTGATTCAATGCATAGCAAGAATAATAGAATGGTTGTATTGCGGAGCGACCATAGTCATGTTTTCTTGTGAGATCATGAAGAATGATAACCATGAAATAAACCAAGCATGTTTATCATGTAAGTGATACTTAGCAAATATAAAATATAATCTTACATAATTCAGGTTCACATATCCTCAAGTACATATTTCATTCTTAAAAATTACAAAACACATCAACATATAAAGCATAATTAATATATTTCACTCAAATAAATAAAGCTCTCCTACAATTAAATAGAATAAACATACACAAAATAATATTTGAGATCTGCTTTAATTTATTGTGGTCGATCATTTCTTTGACCTATAGTCGCAAAGGATTACGTATAAGAGTCAGTTCTTATATGTATACATTTATTGATAATTGTTTAAATCACATATTTGATGAGATTCACAACTTATCAAGCACATATTCCATCAATTATATTGAATTTTATTAAAAATTTGATTTTTATCAAAATTAAAAATGGGCTATATTTGCAATAAAATTGCAGGGTCCCGGCCTCATGGGGTTCATGTGATGCTCTTAAAGGAGCCAAGAGGATGGAAAGACGTATGACTTGACGTGCTGACACATAAACCACTCACAGTGACACAGTTGTGTCTGTTGGAAGGAAACTGCTGTAATTTACAGAAGCAGATAATCATGGAAGACACAAAAACATAAATGGACAAATATTTACCTTCAAAAACCATGCAAATAGGCCTCAACCATGTCAGCTTTTTTAACCATCCTTGAATCTTGATACTTATATTCTTACTTTCTGCAGCTAAATGTCAAATGTACGATCGTAATTCGACAACTTATAGTGACATTTTCATGTTGGTTCGTTTTCAAGTGTTAGTTGATGTTTGATTTTTTGTTATAATGTGATTACTCAGATAAAATTCATTAGGCTTGATAATGAAAATGTCTTATGTAGTCATTCAGTGGTCTAAATTAATTTGCTTGATTATCATTTTGAAACAGAATAAGTGATTACCATAATTGGATTTATAGGTTAAAGGCTATATTGTGGGAGCGTCATTTATGCAGCAAAATGGGAAATTTACACATAGCCACTTAATTTTTTTTGGCAACATCGCTCTCAAATCTTTCTTGGGCCATAGTCTAATACACACACATAAAGTCGCCTTCGAACTTTGCTGGGTGCCGAATTCATGGAACTAGTTAGTGTTGTCAAAAGGGTTAAGTTATTACGACCAACATAGAGGTTTGCGATGCAAATCAATATAGGCTTTATTCCAACCAATTTTGAAGTGTCGATCCATGACTTATTAGACACTGAGTGCACCCTGTAACGGGATATGCACTTTATGTATTGCCTTTATGGACCTACTAGTACAACTCGTCCGGTACGTGATCCATTGATTAGGCCCGTAGCTTGACCGCGCAACATCCTTGTGTCATTTTTGCTAATGAAATAGCTGTTTTTGTGTGTCTGTGTGTGTTGCATAAAGTGGGAGAATTGTGGGAAAAAGGGAGCAAGATTGTGACAAGACGAGAGGGAGCTAGTGGGGACTAACTTGATGCCCCATTTCCTAATATTTCCCATTCCCTTCACCTGTAAAAGTGGGACAACTCAACCCCAACAACAAAAGCCTAAGTCCCTGTTTGTATAAAATTAAAATTCAGATTTTAATTTAAATTAAACTCAATGATTAATTTTAATCACACATTTCACTATATCTATGACTTTTTAACTATACATTTCATCTTCTTTTATCAAAATTTAGCACTTGTTTCAGCCCATTTTGGTTAAAAAATATATTTTGAAATAATGATTTTTGAAAAAAAAAATGAATGGTTCAAAAAGAGGAAAATTTTTCAATTTACGTGTACAATTATTTTATAGGAGAATATGTGATTGAAAATAAAATTTGAAAAAATTAAAAATTTGATTTTAATCCTCACTAAAGTGCCGCTAAAACTAATTGTGTTTGATATATTTTAGCTACATGTACTGTCACTTATTTGAATCTGTCCTTATCTTTTCAAATTCTTGTTCATAACAGCTAGGTTTGACAAGACATGAAGCATTAAAAAGATACTTTGTTTCCGAGCATGCTCTGTAAATGTGTAATGGAAGCCTCAAGAGGATAATGATAATAATGTAATTATGGACAAAGTGTTGCTTGCTTTTAAATGTGTTGAATTTCAAACAGTTTTATACAGACATAGATTATACACCCCCATAATATCTTTCAAGGGATTGCTTGATAATAATAGGGGATAAATGTGCTTTGCTTTTAAGATTTTGTCCATCATTGCATTTGTTCCTGTTTGTCTCCAGGAATATTTCGTTCTTCGTCTTGGCCGTAGTAGCAAATATTCGACTAAAAACTAGTTACTTTTCGTTCTTCCACCAAGAGAGGAGCTTATTTTTTCAGATTGTTCATCGTTGATCTCTTATCAATTAATTTTGAGTGGTTTTTATCGAGACCCAAAGCAAGTTGTGCATGAATTTCTTCACGAATTGAGGCCTTGAAAGTGAAAAGATGAAAAATCCAATATATGAACGATGCTTGCACATAGGTTAGCTAAACTTAGGTATCGAGGATGCCCGAGAAATATCGTGTACCGTATTTAGCATGTGCTCCAAAGGAAAATTGGTCTCAAATTTTAGAACCGGGATACAACGGTCGACAACAGTGTTAGGGAGTTCAAAGACTTTGCCGAGTCTTTACTCCTTTTGCAGTAATATGACGTGCAATTGACCAATTCTCAGATTGAAAACGCTAGTTCAATCCGATCCTGTTATCTACGGTCATACTTCCATAATCTCAATTTCCAGTATAAGATGCAGCTATTTAGTTGTCACATTATTTCAATCAGTATCCAACATCATACCCAAAAATTCCATATTGACAAGGGTGGATTCAATACTCAGATTAGTAGCAAGGGTGTTATTCCAAGAAAGGGTCAAACTGACATGTCCAAAGAATGGTAACCCTCACACACTCAAAAGAAAGGCTAAGAAAATTTTCAAAGTAGAACAGTACAGTCATAAAATCCAAACTTACAACAAACTCAACTTACTAATTGTATCATATTTAAGTTATCATGATTTTATAAAAGTAAAAGTATGCAGAACTTATCCAAGATTCAGTATATGAATAGTGAGTAAACATCTAAGACTTTGTTGTAATGTATTGCCATTCAATTCACTGGAGAAACTATATTTCCACACTTAAATAGCAAGACAAGATTTGACTAGTTGTAAATTCAGAACATAATTAGCAAAGAAAAATCAGGTCGAGCAAAGTTGACAACATTGTGTTAACCATTCAGAATGAGAAGTTGAGTGCCATCATAATAGGTCAAGTTTCCCCAAGTCAATATTCACAACATCAAATTTCGACAGAATAATGCAGATGATAAGAGTACTAAGCAAAAGAATAAAACAAGTGCAAATTTACATCCTTGCACCGGGTTCAAAACAGGGTACTTCAGTATAATATTAGACAATCAAATATGCCACTGTAAGTTGACAAACTCGAATGTGGAGACAAAATATATGATAGAAGGAGATTATACATTACTTAGCCTATGTTTGTCTCATACTTAAAAACATCAAGCCACATTTTATCAATGTTCTAATAAGCATAAGGCATGAAGGTCAAGTCTCAAGACTCACACGCCAGGAGTGCTTTGATGAAGCCTAGGCGTAATAAAGAGTTTTCCTATTTTTAGTATTTAATTTTTCTATACCTTAAAATGAATAAAATAACGCGTAACTTAAAAATTTATAGAAACTTCACACATTTTTCAAGTTTCCAACAAAAACATAATTTTCAAAATTATAAATACCCCAAATCAATAATGTTTTGGTGAGCAAAGAAGCTATGTTTGTGGGCCGGATCACTTCACAAGTTGACCATTAATCAGTAAGAGAGGGTAGAGAACAATGGGGATGAAGGAGATTTTCCAGAGTACATTGTGCTGAAAATCATGGAACTTTAGCACATCATATGATCTTTAAGAAACAATAGAGCAATTCCATTTTAAGCTATCCAACTCCGACCTCAGGAAGTTTTATGGAAAATAATTATTTTAAACTAGCAAAATTAAGAATCGGACATGATTACAAGCTTTTAAGCTGCTTTGTCCTAATCAAAGTAAACCGATGTAAAACTACAAAAAATAGCTCAGTTACCCATGCTATCTCGGACACAAAACGTTGCATAGCTTACAGTGATGAACATATGCAACACCAGAACTGAAAGATCTTAAACAATACAAACATGCATTCAGTCATTTGAAAGTTTACCAAATCTTTTACAAATGCGAATCTTCTTGGTACGAGGAAGCACATCCTTTTCAGGAAAGTGAAACTTGGAGGTGATTTTACACGGATTGCATGTCGTGTGCTAGTAAGGCATCCTGCAAGAACTTTACCGCCCCATCATAATTCAAAAAACCCATGTACCAAAATTCATGGTTATCAACAGATATAAGCTGGATATACTTTTCAGCTGTATTTGTTCTGCTTGGTGAAGGGTTAACTGCTTTGAGTTGATGTAATGGGATAACTACCTGTACAGAATATTTTTGAACATAAAAAAATGTCAGCAACTATGACGCAATTTATGAAATGAATAATTAACTGATGGTATCAGAAATGTACAGATGAATCCAGGTAAATCAGTGATGACAATTATGAGAAGTTTAAGAACAAATTCTGTCTCGGTAACCCCAAAAAAAAAAAAAATCGCAAATATTTATAACCACCCCTCCCCCCACCCCCTTTTCTCTCTCTCTTTCTCATTTTCATGGGTCACTAAAGCACTGCTTGTGCACAAAATAAATCAAAAGAGAAACTAAGCAAGCTTGCAATCAAACAAATTTAATAATGCAAAAGCATAAGCAAAAGGGTAAAACCTACAGGCTACAATTGTACAAAAGGGAAGTGTTCCAATACATCTTGTTACCATAACTCGTGGCTTTAGGTGTACACAGCACCAAGTTATTACAGAGTATGAAATACAACCTGGCTTTTTTAGGTTGAATAAGAAGGGCGACAAATCTACATATTTTAATGCATATTCTATGTTGAACAAATGACAAACAATGATTATTATATGCTCAAATGCTTTTAGGAAGATTTCTCCTTGCTAAAAAATCCACTTCACCTTCGAATAAGGAAAGTAGAAAGAGAGCTGATATTATTGAGAATGTTATCATGTCTAACACAATGTTATCATGTCTTAACACCAATTCTCCGCAGAACATTTATCATCAGCTCAACCACTCCTGTCTATACCATGGAGAGATAGAGAGATGAGAATGCAGGTGTATGTCTGATAGTAATTGAAGGTCTTGGAGAAAAACATTGTTAGCACTTGATGAGTCCTCATTTGATACATCATCCTTGTGATCAGAGTGCATAAACTTTAAATAACATGCATTTCCATAATTGTAAAACAAAGTAGATTAAACAGTTTTTCCACGATCCAACAAGAAAAGTAACCAAATAATAAAATCATTTGCACCTGTATAAGAACATTTACGTAAGTTCTTATTTCAATTCTGAATTTCATATGCAGGTAAAGTATATTGAAATTAGTAACTATAACATAAACGATCAGAGTACTGATAAAAGAGAAATGACAACTATGCTTATAAGTAACTTATAAGATGGATTTTGAAAAGTAGGTAGACCCATACTTGTTCAAAACTCATCTTATAAGTTACTTATAAGCTCCACCCAAACATGTATCAGACTACAAACAGTAAAGAATACAAAAATACCTTATAATAGCTCCATTCTGTCTTGTCGCTAGCTTTGTATGAAAGTGGATTATCGCTACAAAATGCGAGCTTTGCAGTTGAGACATATAAAACACCCATAACCGGACCAGCAGATGTGGATAAGTAACATGCAAATGAATTACGGAGTTGCTCCTCAGGAACTGTCTCAAATGTTTGCCGAAATATTTTCTCATAGCCACCTTCTGCTAGAACCTTTGTTCCCTGTGCAATTCTTCCCAGAGCAGCGTCAGCTAGACTAGGGCTGGTTTTCACTGAGAAACGAAAGGACATTTAGCGATTTCTGTGCACAAGGGTTCTACAGACGGAGAGGAACAGAAAGCCTACAGAATATTAGGAGGAAATCTGGAAAATCAAGAGCTCAGTAATGGTTTTATCTTGGTTGTTGAAATTAAATCTATTCCAACTTCTATAGACAATTTAGTAGTTCTTTAAATAATCTAAGAGCTTGGTTTTGTCTTTTTTCGTTAAACTTTCTTCCCAGTACTTCTTGTATCCGGAGTTCAGCCATTTGATTACAATATTATTGGATTCTATAAATACAAAAGCAGGGACCGTTAATACAACCATAGTGATGTTAAGCAACAAATCAAAATAGATATATATTACCATGATGCCGTGAAAGATTTTTAGAGTTATAAACGATTCTATGCAGGGAAAGATTTTCAAAGTTATAAATGATTCTATCTAACCAGCAAAAAAAATTATATACTAATTGCTTTCAATCAGATGGATTCTCCAAATAATCTGCCTTCCATTTAGGCATCTGATCATTCAAGATCACTTTGACTTCACCCGTAATTCAGTGACCAATTGTCCACCCACCAACACCGCCCGGGAACATCAAGGTCCAACTCTAGTGGACACAATATTTAAAATGCTGCAGTTGACTAAATAGACAAAAGAAAATTATTCTTGAAATAACTCAAAAAATTTATCTTCCTTTGGCTCTTATAGTTTCCAGAACCAACCTACCATTTATTTTCTCACAGAAATTTTACGAACCCATTTTGATCCTAAACATTTAGAGGTCAACCCACAAAGAAGGAACCCACTTGTCTGAATTACCCTAATAATTCTACCTATCCATCATCATTAGAGTTCTTTTGCATTCCAAACAAGGAATCAATTTGACATCAATGACTACGAGTTCCAATGGGGACAATTTGAGTTTGATGTGATTTTCCTACACAAAGTAACAAATCCAGTCCTTGCTTCCTCATCATCTTATAATTATCTATTTGCTCAGTAACAATTTTTTCAAGGCATTATCTGTGTGACACCTTACAACAGAGTTTTAAATCTTCAACTGTGACAAAGAAGTGTAGGTGTAGGTGTAGGTGTAGGTGTAGGTGTAGGTGTATGTGTAGGGGTTAATGTCTCATCTAAGGAAGCATACATCAAAGAATATTACTGTGCATTTCCTGCACCAAGGTCAGGAGGCGTTGATTTCAAAGCAACTCATGTTGATAAGAAATTCAACTTTCGAAGACTCGAGCAACACTTCCCTCAATGAGGATTAGCCTTTGAATAATATTCGACACAAAATTAAACCTGCTAGCCAGGTTTAAAGAAATAAATAAATAAATAAAAGAACCATCACCACTGAGAGCTGAGAAGGTTGGAGGATAGGTTATGAAATAGAAGCATCTTTCTCACTGCAAAGATTTGAAAGACACGTGTTACCAAGTGGTGGTGTTAAATTTTTCTGCATTTTTTTTTTTTTTTAAACTTCTTCTCTCAATAATTACATTAAAAGATGCAGTTTTGCACAGAAAGGTCATTGCCCAGTATCCAAGGGTCTTAGCCAGCAAGTTATTAACAATAAAAGATTTACTTCACGCAACTTCTTTCTGGTGCTCTCTGTATCTATTTTTTTTCCGTCAATTATTTTCCTCATCAACCCAAACCTAGAGGCTCATGCCCTCCAGGGCTTCAAATAGTCTTTAAATGCCAGTAGTATAAAAGTGTAAGGAGTTGTGCGTCTCCATAAATGTCCTTATACACACTAGTGAATGGCATAAAATATTTTCCGTTTGCGGATTGAGCAAAAAATGCAGACGCATAGAGTTGTATACAAGTTCTTTTATGCTTTGATAGAGTAGAAAAGCTCACTAACAAAGTTGTGGTGATTTTATTTTGTAAAGCTCTGAGTTGCTTCTCATTTCCTCAAGGCCTATAAAATTTGGAGGAAGGCTCTTTATTTTTGGCTATTTTTATGTGGATGATGGCTGTGAGCAAATAATTGGTGGGTGGTATAAGTGATGTCATGTGAAGGCAATTGAAGGTTAAGGTGAATTTGATACCTTACATTCTTTTGCATCTATCAGTTGACGAATGATGTCTAGACTTACACTAATGGTGGTGGTTAGATTGCAACTGAGGTGGATGGCCCACAATGCTGGCAAGTGATGCAGGTTAATGGAAAGGGATGCGAAAAAGTGGAGGCCTGAAGAAAGGTTAAAGTAAGAGAAGGAAAGCAATTGGAATATGCTCATATATGAAAGTTGGCATATTTATATCATAAAATATTGGACCAGTGAACTAAAGATAAATGAGTAAGATCATACGAAAACTATCACCATATGAGAAGATAGAAATAGAACAAAAGGAAATGGATTTCCCATGTTTGGCATGACAATGAGACATATTCACATCAAAATACTCCAATTCCGTCTATAAAGCATTTTCCCTAGAAGGGTAATGGAGCCATCGTTGGATGCATAAAAAAGAATTTTCTGCTCACAGTATTCATTCAATGAATTTGAAAATCAAATTGTGGGGAATTTACGTAGCCACAAATTAGTATAGATTTGAAACATGTCAAATTTTGAAAACTTTTGCAAGAATGACCATTTTTCGGTAAAATTTATCATTTGCACCCTTTTCCTCTATTTGTTCAATATAATACATTGTTTTACATTTGAACAACGTCTGAGATGAAAAGAGTAGCTTCTAAGAGAAGCAATCTACAAATACATGTAATTTCCCATACATGCCATTATCCACAACACAATGCTAATTAACAAAAGTTACGAAATGTCTTTCATTTCCATCATATTTGTTCAACTTTGAAACATTAATATCTTTTCATTTTTTCATAATATTTATGCATTGCCCTTGGAAGTTAAACCTACAGTTTTCGAACTATATATCTAGACAATTTTTTGCTCTAATTCTAGATGGTTTAAATTAGACTGTTTAGAATGATAATTTCAATTGTCAACCCGCACATATGCAGAGAGAAATATAGACATATTGGGGTTTCAAGAGATGCCTTGACAAGCTAGGAGAGAGAGAGAAATCATTTCTGGTTAAGTGTGAGTGATTGAGGAGAGAAGAGCCATTTTTTTTTTTTTTTGCATGTAAAGGTGTGTATAGATTAAATATAGATTAAAGAGTCGTCATAATTCTTTTCAAATGAAGATATAAAATTGTAATTTAGAAAAGTTGTTCAAAATTTTTGAATTGGATAGATTTCAAAATGTATAGTGAAAAGTGGGCATTTTGTGCAATTTCCTCTAAAAACAAACTAAAATATAGGAAAAGCTTACGGTGCTGCCAAGTATTCCCAGCAAGATCCTCAGCCTTCCTTGTAGCTTCTCCCACCTTCTTTCCCCATCTCCCTAACACATCCTTTACATTTTCCATTGTACCTAAAATGAAAAAGCAAACATTCAACCTTTCTACATAAGTTTTTTCTATGCCTTCAAATTAAAATTTCTAATGTCGATCAATCCATCAAAATCAACTTCATAAGTCCTTTTTAACATCATCAAATTCAAGATAAAGACCATAAAAAAAACATTTACCGACTCAATTACCAACAAATATTATAAGCAAAAAATAAAATTAAAAAATAATAATAAATAAATAAATCCAAGCCAGATTTCCTGAATTCTGTGGAATTACAAGAAAAAGTATACCAACTCATTAGCTAATTTAGCTCTAATTCAATAAATGAGAGCCTCGTGTGCATGAAACTTGACAAGTGAGTGTCAATATTCATACTAAATCCAAAAAAGAATCATTCAAATACACATTCTTTTTAGCAAACACAAGGACACACAAACTGAGTAAAAACCACCTCAATCCAATCCAATCCAATCGCAAAACAGTTTAACGAATAACAGTAGCCAAAAAATAAAAACTCATACACAAATATATCCACATACTTATGTATTCGAATACTGACTTTTGAAATTTAAGGACAAGGAATCTCTAGAAGGCGCCGGGGAGTAAGCAACGTATGGATTGGATCCGCGATCGTAATCCCTATGCACCGGCGATTCCGTCACCAATTCCTCACTCCACCTCACCGATTTTTTCGATTTCAATTCTTTAGTATCATCATTACTCTCCTCATTTATATTCACATTAATATTGGCATTATCTCCTTGTTTTACTGCCTCTACTTTTGCTTCACCCTTCGGTATCGGTTCCGGGTCGGGTCTCGGAATGGGGTTCGGATATTTACCGGGTGAATTCTGATCTGGCTCCAATGATACCGCTTCCATTTCTCCATTATCGTCTTTATCGATCGGATTCGACCGCTCCATCGTTTTCAAGAATTTGGGGATACAATGGGAAATTGGATTTTATGTATCCAGAGCGCGCGAGTCGGCGCGTGGAAGTTAAATATTTGAATGCTGGAATAGGGACGGTAACAGCTGTGACGATGGTGATTGTAGTGTCGTGATAGGTGACCAAGTGCCGGCTAATTTAACGCAGTAAGTGAAATAAGAATCTGACCTCAACTATTGGACAAACTATTATTAGCCGAGCCCTATTATCACGGATGTTAATGAATCAAATCGAATCGACTCGAGCGTCAAGAATCGAAATTTGGGCTCGTCTCAAATAAAAATGGTTCTTACTTTTTTGGACCTTGTTGAATCGAGCTTTTACTTGGCTTAAATATGTAGACTCGACCCGAGCTTTCGGCTCAAACATTATCGACTCAAGCAGAACTGTCTCGCCGCTTTTTTATTTTATTTCTTTATTTTTATATAGCTGCCTGTTTTGTAGATTTATTTATTTTTTTAGGCTCAACTCGTTACAGGTCGAAAATTGTCTTTGTGGCTTGATAGTCACACGGGTTGACTCGAGCCTCGACTTGATTCTACCAAGCCATGAGCCTTCCAAGTCGACGAACCAAATTGACATCTCAACTATTATCTACAAATTATTTTTTAAAAATAATTTATTTTAATAAAATAATTTTACACTTAAATTTAAAATTTTTATTCACACATTTTCAGAAAATTAATATTACGACACAAAAAAAACAAGTTAGACGGATCTAAATAAAAGGCACGAGAAGGTGCTTCGTAGATGGAAAAGATGTGAAAAAGATTATCAATAATATTTTGACTACCTATAATCAGTATTTTAAAAAGAGTAAAGTGTGGGTAGACGTGTAGACGAGTTTTAAGCTTTGCAAGCCTAGGCGACACCTAAACGTTAAAAAAGTTACTTGTTATTATTATTATTTTAAATAATTAGTCATTCTAAAAATCATTTAATAATTAAAATAACACATGCCAAATATTTAAAATTATAAAATACTATATTCACTTAATAATTCAAAAAATTATCGATTGTACAATTTTCAAGTGTTTGAGATGCAAAAGTTAGACCATTTTTCATAATTTGTAGACCATTTTTCATAATTTGAACAAAACGATAAGTTTAAAAATCATTATTACGTTATATAAATAGCACTGTAACTTAAATCCTATATAATCTATATTGAATAAAGACAACTTTTTATACAGATAAAGTCATTTAAAATTTTGAAATTAAAGCTAAATAAAAGCCTTTTATAAAATTAAATAAATTAATAAACAAAATTTTTTTAAAAGAAGAAAAAATAAATAAATTATCAAGTGCGTCTAGCCGCGTCTAGGCGCACATTAAGTAGTTAACCACCAAATTTGCGCTTACTGTTAAGGCAAAGTGGTTTTCCAATGCCTCGCGCTTGGACACCATCTAAGCACACTTTTTAGAATACTATCTATAATAGAGTTAAATGTTGCATTAGTCATTGAACTTATACCTTTGTCATAATTTACTTGCTGGACTTTCAAACGTTTAACAATGGTTTTCCTAAACTTTAACATCTTGTACTTAATTACTCACTCACCATGTTTCATTAATCATTGAATTTTAAAAATACATCAGAGTAATCACTAAATTTTAGCCTCTGAATGATACCCATTATTTAATAATTCATTTTTCTTATACTGATTTTCAACCAAACATTTCATCAATAAAATAATTTACAAGTAAACTTAAAATTTTTTCTTACTTTTTAACTACATATTCTCCACAAAATCACTATTGCAAAATTTATTTTAGCATAAAAATGTGGCTCAAACAAGGGCTTACACATGTTGCACTCCATCACTAGAACTTATACCCCCGTCATACTTTACTTACTAAATTTTAAAATACTTCCGAGTGATCACTGAACTTTATTAACTGGATCTAACGGTTAAAAAATTGAAAATTTTGACAATTTTAAAAATTATATTTTGTTAGTCTTGATTAATATTATTGACTCTAAATCGAAATTTCATTTTTTGTTTCATATATAATTTTTTACTTTCTTAATTTAGGTCTACTTTCTCAATCAAAATAAAAAATAATTTTTCTAATTTATTTTCTTGACGTAAAGGAAAAAGTATGACTTAAATTGAGATTTATGTAAATTTGAAGCTAGTTCTTCTTTCTCCTTGAATATAGCTTTTGATGATAGAGAAATTATATTTTGTTTATCAATATCAATATTTTCATCTTAGATTGATAATCTTATTATTTAGTCGATATTTATTTTATTTTCTCGATCTAGATCGAATCTTATAGAAAATAAACTTTATTATGAAATTCAATGACGAGTTGTGCCATGGGTACATTATGGACACCACCAGGCGCCCCCTATTGGAGGAGCGTCTGGTGGTGTTCATAATGTACACCAAGAATTATTCATTCAGGGACCACTCGAAAATATTTTAAGTTTAGTGAGGAAAGCGTGATGGAAGTATATGTTCAGTGATCAATGAAACATGGTGAGTGAGTGATGGAGTGCAACATATTAAAGTTCGTGATCACTCAAAAACATTTTAAAAGTTCAATGAATTATGAATCATGTTGAATGAGTCATGGAGTGCAACATGTTAAAGTTCAGTGCTCAATTGAAAGAAGTTTAAAATTCATCGAATAAAGCATGAAGAAAATATAAGTTCATTGACTATTGAAATGATTAACTCCCTATAATACGAATTTGGATGGCATAAGATGTGACTAATGCAGTTTTAATTGTCAAAAGATGCAATTGCTGCTAGTCTAAGCATCAAAAAGTGGCGCCTTTTGATTTGTTCTTCTTCTTTGATTTTTATATATAGGGGTTTTGTTCGTTTGCCATATCTTTGGTGTTTTGTTAGGTGATTCATGTGATGACTCTCTTGGAAAAGATTGTAATGATGATATTATTAGAATTTCTTAGTTTGCACTAGAGCTATTTCATTTTTCCTTATAATAATAATAATAATAATAATAATAATAATAATAATAATAATAATAATAATAATAATAATAGTTGAGGCAAATTAAGAGAAATTCTGCTTGATTTTACATAAAGGTTTTCGAATTTCTCCATGATCTGAATTTTGAATTTTTGGTCTTATATTATAATTTATTTTTTACTATGTGGTTTTTGTAGTGGCTCTATTTTGTGGTTTTTCCTCCATCTATTATGATAATCTTATTGCCTAGTTCATTCTCTTGATTGTTTGAAATTGTTCTTGTATTTGATTGGATGGTTAATGATTTATCCAAATGCTACATCAATGAATACGCTAGTAGTATATAATAATGACATTTAACATCAGCGATGTTAGAGCACTAGTTTTGAAACAACCCAAATTTTATATATTTAAGTCGCTACCAAAAAAACTTGCTTAATATTTAACTATTTACGAATTTGTGTATGAATAGTTTTCATTTATCACCTAACTGATATACAACTCAAACTCAGATTTAATTTGCTCCCTTGAATAGTAAGTGCACGCAAATTAATGAGCACACAATATTTAAAAATACGAAGCATAAGCATTGCTTTATCAGCATTGAAAGACAACTAATACTTGCCACAATGGGCCATAAATAAGTAAACTTAATAATTATCACGGTCACCATCACGTCAACCTATGAAAATATGAGACATTTTTTTCCAAAATGACTGTTGACTACTGTTTAAAAAAATTGAAAAATCTGTAAAACCTTAAAAACAATGAAAACCCAATATTGCCCCTAACAAATCACTCGCATACCGACGTCTGGAGAAAGAAATGGAAGAAATAGTAAATAAACCGACGACTCTTTCTTGGAAGGGGACCGACCGGCCACCATTAGAGGGGAAAAGGTAAGTTTTGCTTATTTTTCCCCCATTAATCTTTGAACCTGGATGTTGAAAGTTTATTTTGTTAGAAATAGTGGTAGAAATCTTGGTAAATTATGTAAAATTACTAGAAATTGCATGTTTTAAGATTTTTTTGGGACAGAGATCGCCGGAAATGGCGATCTCCGGCACCTGGACGAAGAAGACGCCAGGCATGCTGGGCCGTCTGCGAATAGACGGTCCGGTTTTCTTTTCTTTAATTTTTTTTTTGTGTATTCCATAAATAATTAAATACACAAAAATAAATAATGAACATTTAAATTGTAAATGAAAAATGTAAATAATGAATAAATGTTAATAATCAAAACATGTAATTAAAATTTAATTGAAATAAATTTCTAACATTTAAAATAAAAAATTAAATATTTACGTTTACTTTTTCAATAAATAATTTAAATAATCGATCAATATAAGTAATTAAATCAAATAATTTAAATGAATAATTGAAACAAATAAATGAACAACAATTGGAATATATAATTAATTTAAATAAAAATAAAAAATTTAAATAATTAAGAAATATAAATATTCAAAATAATTTATTTAAATAAGTAATTAAATATAAATAATCAAATTTAATTAAATAAGTAATTGAAATAAATTTCTAACAAGGATTAAAATAAATTATGAAATAAATAATTTTACAAAAATTAGTTTTCGCTTTTTATAATTTGTTGTTTAATTTTTAATTCATTTTCTTTATTATCTATTATTTCGTGCATATATTACTTACAGTTCGGTTAGTTAAATTTTGTAACATTATGTTTCAAATGTTCTAACATCTGAAATTTTGCAGAATGATTTGTCATTTAGCCGCCGCCTTGAAACAGGTTCCTGACAAAATTACATCGAACTGTAACTTTGCCAGCTTCACAAGAGTGTTGGATTCATTGGACGAGGAGCACACAAAGATATTACGTCGATCCTGCCTATGGCTCCTATTCGCTGCCCTCTGTACAGTTTTTGGACAATTGATCGATTCATTACTATGTAGGCTGCTTAAGTCAGTTGACGAAGATGCCCTCCACTTTGACCTTGGGGGCAAGGTTGCTACATTTTCCATATTCGAGTTTGCCCTAATCACTGGATTGAAATGTATGGGCGAATAGGCAACGAGGGCCAGTATTCCAACAGACAAGGGGCCGCTGAATGATTATTTTAATGGGCACACGATAGTGACATTGGCGCGGTTAGGAGATGCATCCAAGGGATGCGACCAGATGTCCAATAAGTTGAAG